CATTTCCCACCACGTCTCCATGACTGCAACGAGCACCAAAGCTCACGGCTGCCGGATGCGCCTTCCTGCGCCTGCACAGGGCTGGGAGATCACCTCCTGCCCCTGGAATCACTGGTTTTGTGGGATTCCCCCCACATCCATCCATCCCAGCGTGCTGCTGGGTGGCGATCGATGCTCAAAGCCCACCTGGAGGTGAAGGCACCCAGCTCAGGCAGTGAGGTGATGTCCCCATCCCTGCGCTCCCAGCACGTGGGAACCAAAGGATGGAAGCAAACTGGGCTTACAATAGGAACATCTTCTCCCAGCCATCGGCTCCGAGGGCGCAGAGGAGCTGAGAAGCCCTCTGGGGCTGCAGTGATCCAGGGGCAGAGCCATCCCAACGCCTCCAGCAGCAAAGCACAGCCCTGAGCCCATCCTTGTGCCATCCTTCAGTGCCCATGGGTCCTGTCAGAGCGCTGCATCTCCACAACCTGCATCCAGCATCCTCCAAACCGCTGCCTCCTATGCTCTGGGGCTGCATCATCCCTCCCTGCCCACGAGGTGTGGGACAGCACAGTGTAACATGGGCTCATCCCAAAAGGAGCACTGGAGGCTCACAGCCCCACAGCTGGGGGCAAGGTGGGTGATGGATGCACCGCCCTATGGCTCCCCAGACCCCCCACCACCACCCAGATAACACAAAACTCCACCAGCAGCCCCTCCAAGCTGGGGGTCCCCAACCCCTCCAGTCCTTACCTTGGAGGGGGAATGCACCACCGACTCGGGGGGGTAAACGATGAAGTGGCGAAGGGTGAAGCCAAACCCCCCTCCCTGTGTGCTCTTCCGCAGCACCACCGTCTTCGGGCCCCCCCAAGGAAAGGCCCCCTCCAGGGGCGCGTTGTCATTTGGGGACGCCCCATCTCTGCGGCCCGGCGTCGGCTATGGGGACAATGGGGAGATGTCACATTCAGGGGGAGATGTCACACTGAGCCCCGTGCTGGAGGGCAGTGATCTGCCCCTAGGAAACCCCTCCTGACTTCCAGCCCTACTGCATGAATGGCAGCATCCAAAGCTCCCCCCACCCCCCGCCTTCCCTCCCAAAAAAGGGATGTTGTGGGAGAAGGGAAAATAAACAGTGGGGGCTGGAATTGAAACTGAGCTTGGGGTACGGATGGGACCTGGAAGAGGACAGCGCAGGGGGTGAGTGCAGAAAGCAGGGAATACATGATGGGGTTGTGCCAGTGAGATAAGCCAGCAGGGCACGGGTGGGGGGAAGGCTGCATGGCAAAGAATGGAGATGTAAGCTGAGGGTAGGGAGGATTGCATAGCCAAGCCACGGTGGGGGGCAGCAGGGCAGAAAGTCTGGCTTTGCAGCAGGGACATCTCTGCATTTTGAGGCTGCACATCTGGCTGCGTATGGCACATCTGGATGCACAGCAGGGCTCTGCTGCACCCCCTCCCCTGTGCAGCAGTGAGGAGCAGACCACGCTCCAGAAGCAGTAATTGCTGCCCTCGGGTTGGGCTCCTGCCCTGCCAGCCCCCCTCGCACCACAGCACTGCACTGCATGTGGGGTTTGCCCCCATCACTCCCCCCCCCCCTCCCCATGGCGTTCAAATTCAGGCTCTGTATCCCTGCAAGGGTTCGGTGGTGAGGTGATGAATGGGGAGAGATGAGGCAGAAGCCAGGCGGGGAGGGAAGAGGGACACAAAGGGCCGAGGCACAAAAAGCCTTTGTCTCTGCCTGTGCTGAGCACAGCCTTTTTGCTGCTGGTGGGTAAATGGGGCTCCCTGCACCCCACACAAGGGCCCGGTGTGGGGCTGGGGGTCCCTGCTGTCGGGGAAAGGGGGGGCAGCCCCAAAGCCCCCACCAAAGGGCTCTTGTGTCCTCCAGTAGCAGCAGCCCCATGTGCTCCGATCCCAGTGACACAGGGAGCACCTGGGGACACCCCAAGAAGCAAAGAGCTGCGATGCTCCAACCGGGGGACCCTGAAACCACAGCAAAGCCACAACCCCAGCCCTACACCCCCGCCAGGACCCCTCACAACCCCAGCCCTACACCCTCCCTGCACCACAGAGACCCAACTTTTGACAGCGGCGGGTGCCCCATTGCCACAAGGACCCCAGGCTGCCCACAACCCCCCCCACCCAAGGACGCCCGTCCCCATCTGCGCCCTCCATTGTGTCGGCCGCCGGCACGCTGGATTATTTTTAAGCTGACAGCTGAATGTGCCCCGCTGATGGTAAGCAGCACAGACAGCACTCTGAGCAGACACCGACGGCAGCACCGACCCACTGCCATGGGGACACACGGCCCCGTGTCACAGCCATGGCAGAGACGCCGTGCCCATCACACAGGGATGCATCACCAGCACTGTTTGCCCATTACACAGCACTCGGCGCCAGCAGCAGCTGCTCAGTGCCCCCCCCGGGACCCCCAGCAATGCTCCCCCCCCCTCCCCAATAGCATCCTGTGCTACATCACCTGGAGGGGACAGCAGGGTGGACAGAAGGGGGTTTCTCCCATACAAACCCATTGTGCGGAGCGCATGGACCCCATGCAATGAGACGCTGCAGCTGCAGCCCATCACCCAGCTCCAGTCCCACCAGCCTGCATTCACCATTGCAAAAGAGCCGCAGGAGATGCGCTGCATTGCAAACAGCCCTCCTGGGCTGCTCTGTCTGTGCTGCTTCCGTCCCCACGTCTCACATTTGCTTGGGGACAACCCCATGGGGACGCAGCTCACGGCCCTGCTGCCAAGGACGGAGACATGGGGTGGGAGCACATCGTGTTTGCTTCACCCCAGGAGAGCCCCCAGCCCCACTCCCCACGCAGCCCACCGTGCTGCAACCAGCCCTTATCACCGTCACCTCATCCCCTTCCCCAGCCTGAAGCTTTTGGGGCTGCGAAGCCTCAACCACACGCTTGGACACATCACCCACAGATCTGTCATCTCAGCCACGGGTCCCCCTCTCCCAGCAGGGATTGTGCTGTCCCCACACTTTGGGATTCGCTTCGAACCACAGCCCTGAGCCCTCCGCTGGGCTACAATCAGCTGTGCCCCCCCCTCCCCAAACCCAAAGCACAGGGATGGAGGGGGAATGAGTCCGTGCTGCCCACCCCAACTCTTTGCCCTCACTCCCACGGGGACAGAAGCAGCCACGGCTGTCTCACACCCCCACTCAGCCCTCCTGGGGGGGCACAAACGACCCCCTGGCGGTGCCCCCCCCCCGGGGCCGTGCACCATAGGACAGCATGTGGGGCACACAAAGCCAAGCCCACCCCTCCCTCTACCCCACAGTGCTCACCCGATGGCCTTTGGCGGTGCGTGGGGCCGCGGGGCCGTGCGGTGCTCCGGGGGGGCGGCGGGGGGGGGTTCCGGCCGCGCACCTCCTAACGCTGCTCAGCCAAATGCAGCGCGGTTCTGGTGAGCTGCAATCCACCCCGACGGCGCGTTCGTAGCCCCAACCCCTCCCGGATCGCTCCACGCTCCATAAAGCTTTGCTCACCACCGCCACGGGGTTGGGGGCTGTCGGGGGTCCCCGTGCCGCCCTGCGGAGCCCCCGTTGCCCTCCGCCCTCCTCCACCATCGTGCGGGGCAGCGCTCCGTCCCGCTGCCGAGCGCTGCTGGCTCGTAGGGCGGGGGCCTGGGAGGGGGGGGGGTTGTGGGGGGGCGACAACGTAGGGGGAGGCTCCGGCTCCGGCTCCAGCTGCTGGCAGCGCTCCG